AGACATATGTCAGACATTTTCTAGGGGCAAATTAAGGGGGTGACTCCCTTTATTACACATTTTATAATATTAAATGAACTCACGTGAGTGACAAAATAAGGCACGTGATGGAGACATCAGACACTCAGTCAATAGTCTGAAGCTGAGCTGTTTGATGAACTCGGTGAGAAACGAAAGAGGTCGGTCCTCATTGCGACTGAGCTGTTTCAAACAGTCAAATGAAGAGCAAAAGAGTTGCATATAACTCAGGCATCATGGATAAGCTAATGGGCTTAATGATAAGCTAGGCTAAGGGAATTGCTAGAGGGATTTCAGCAACTTTCCAAACATAGTCGCCTAATTGAAGAAAGGTGTGCCACCTTGAATGGGAAATCATGAAAACCCTAATTGAACGGTGATCTATAAAAGCACAAGGAGCTAGGGTGAAAGGTACGATGAACTCTCTTTGTATTCTTGCAATTGTCTCAGTTCCATTACTGACTTAAGTATCGGAGTACCTTTGATCGAAACACTTCGATCTTGAACAGTTTGTTCGTTTTACAGGAAGCGAAGACAGGGGGATTAAGTTTAGAGTTCACTCTTATCAGAAACGTTCATTTTTTATTCTTAAATGAGGTGTCCTCAATTTTTACCTCTTACAATAAATGTTATACATTCAAAAACAAATAGCATGTCAGTTTTTGATTGGTTATAGACACCACACGCCGGTGCTTTCGGATATGTTCTGGTAGTGAAATATGTTTGACCCGACATTATGTAGCAACAAAACCCTGTGAGACCTTAACAGAGATCAGCCCACGTGCCTCACATAGTGTTAAGTTATGGCCCTAAAGGACTACGTTTGATTTTACGGAGGAGTTGCTTTCAGTAGTGTGACGCATGACCACGAGGTTCAAAACACAGGGAGGTATGAATATTCAAAACCAGTAGTGAGATCTTTCATTCCAAAACAGTAAGGGAGAAGAAGAGATGCCGTGGACGTGTTTTTTTCCTCTCTGATAATTTTGTTTGTTAGTTAAGTTGGTCATTGTTGCCCTCCCTCCCATTCCATGTACTAAATAAAAGCCCCATGTGAGAGTTAGGTGATTCAACACTTTGAGTTGGGAGTTATCATTAGAGGGGGCTCCTGACTGTTTGTTTGATGTTACATGGTAGGTGAATGGATATAAATCAGGCAGATTCGAAGTTAGACAGACAGACAACAAAGGGCAGTCTTTACCTAGGCATGCATTACAATGAATCCGACTTTGAAAACGAATACGACTCGAATATAATTTAATTGTACAAGGATTGTCATTTGTTGACATTCGGATTCTGGTATACAAACAATGGGTACGACCGTAATTTAATTTGAGTTTTATATGTATGTGATAAAATTAAGGTCTTGTTTGGTTTGCGTCTTAAAAATAATTTTTGAAAACAGTGTTAGAAAAGTAGTTTTTATTTTTTTTTTGAGACAAAAAACTTATTTAGTTAGATGATTTGAAAAACAGAACGGAAAACAGTAAAATCTGTTTGGGCAACTTATATATATATATGTGTGTGTGTGTGTGTGTGTGTGTGTGTGCGCGCGCGCGCGCGCGTGTGTTGGACAATAATTAAAAATTTAATAAAAAAATATGTGAAAATTATTTTTAGATGGACAGTTTTATAAAAAGAAATTCAATAAATTAAATTTTAAAATAAACTAAATAGATTAAACGGTCTTCAATTTAAAACAGATTCAATATTAATGTATAATATATTCGATATCAATTTATATATAAAATCAATCAACCAAAAAATAATAAAAAAATGTCAGATCAATAACGACACTAATAACATAATCAATATCAATGACAGATTCAATATCAATGAACGAAAAAATATGAGATCTGAACCAAAAAAATTAGATTTGTGTTTGATAAAAAACATCAAATCTGAGTTTGATCAGCGATTGAAGCAGATAAAAAATCAGATCTAAACCAAAAAATCTGATATCCGAAGCCCTTCGTTTATTGATATATATCACTTGAATTTAACAAGACTTGGGTTTGAATTTGATAAACCAAAAAATATCATATCTGTGTCAATATTTCAGTATTACAGTGCTACAATGCTATTCACACGAGCTAGAAGATTAGAAAAGCTGAAAAATTCCTCATGTTTTTTCAAAAAATGGTTACACAAAAGACACAAGGGTGAAGCACATGGAGGTGTTATTTTCTGTTTCTTTACTGTGGTTACAATATCTTTATATATATAAGCAAATCTGAACCAAAAAAATTAGATCAGATCAAAAAAAAATCAGATGTGTTTTTTCGACGATTGAACCAGATTTGAACTAATCATCGGAGAGCTCCAGTGTCTATGTGTGTGTTTTGTCAAGAAGATGCAGTTGTCGAAGAAGACGCAATCACCAAAGAAGACTTTCGTCTGAGAGTCAGTGGAGAGAAAGAAAGATAGGGAGAGTGATGAGAGTCTTGGAGAAACAGGAAAAAGAAAAAAAGTTTTTACACTATGGCTTGTTTTGCTTCTAAGGGGACTCGAATGGGAGACATCATTAAAGAGTTTTTAGTTGTTCTCTGAGTTTTGCATTTTTTTTCCTTCTTTTGTCTCCAAAACATCCAAAACAAGTTCAATTTGTTTCCTATTTTTTGTACTTTACATCCCTCTTTTTCTAAAAAACAGAGAACAAAAATTCAAACCAAACAACCCTTAAGTAACTATTATTTCATGAAATTGATTAGAAATTTCAGTGATTGTTAAAATAAAGCTTAATTAATTTATTCGGATTGGGTTTAGTTTTTAGTTCGGATTTTTGGTAATTAACGGGTTTATTATAAATGCATTAGGAAAATAAAATTCATTTGATATAAGCGTCCATGTTTTTACATCGGATTGTGGTCTGTCCAAATATGATCCATTGATTCACCAACCTTTGTCCTAGGTTTGACCTCTGTTCCATTTTCACTACATTTTGTGCTAGATCTCTCTCTCTCTCTCTCTCTCTCTCTCTCTCTCTCTCACTCACAGACACACTCATATGATTCATATGATACAATGATACTACTAGCAATATAATTCTGTACTTGGAACAAAAAGTAGTTTGATGGCTAGGCAATGCTATGTTTCGGGTAAAAAATTGTAAAAATATTTTACTTTATGAATTTTTACGAACTTTAGGAGCCCTTGATGATATACTTATATGGATTACTACTATTGAAAAAAGGTGTAATAATGATCGCTTAGTCGGCAAGCCAACAAGCCTATCCAACTCTCATGTGCATGATTGCTGACGTGTTGTTATGTGGGGTCTCTTTTCTTTGCTGCTTCTTCAAGCCATAAACCAACTCTCTTTCTTTTCGACCTCTTCATTGCCTTTTCCAATTTATTATACCTATTATGCACATGCAATTTATTATTTTTTAAATTTTTTATTAATTAAATTCTCATACTTTTTTCTTATTTAATTCTTTGGTCGTCTTACACTGATCAAATTTAGAGTCTAAATGACATGACAGCATATTATTTGGAGTCTTTATTAGGGCTCAAATGACATGATATCAATTAAAAAAGTTTAATTCAACTGTTATGTCATTTAAACTCTAAATTTAATCAACGTAACATTATTATTACTAAAATATTGTGGTCAGGAAGTGAGAATCTATTCTATTCATAGACGCATGCATGTTTGACACACATACTTATAATAACCCATTCTAATGTATACCATTTTTGCATGCGAGAAGGTGATAGGAGCATACTTACCACATAGGAATGTAAACAATTGAATGACATAGGTGGTTCACTAGATATGAACCTTCTAATCGAAGGGTGATACATATCTAATATTGTTTGGACAAACACATTGTGGTGTAAGTGAAGTTGCTTACGACAGTGACTTTGGCTTAATAGGATTATTTATCTGTTTCTTCTCATTTTTAGGTTTGATTTAGTCGGATTTAGTGCAAGAATAAGATTATTTTCTTGTGATGTAATAACCTTTGCGTAGACGAAATGAAATTGTTTTCATTCAAGGGTGATAGAAGTGTCATAAACAGTCAAACAGACTTAACTTTGAATTTCATACAAACAGGGAGGTGCAAGTCCTAGTCAGTCAAGGTTCTTGGGTCCTATGGTTGTTCTGTTTAAAGTAACCATGAATAGGACCTTCAACGCCATTGACAAGCTGCTGTTCATGGCGGGAAATTAACGGCATGGACAGTACTCCACTAAAATTTTCTTGTATTTTGAGTAATTCATTTTTCAATTTGATCGATCAAGATTATCCGCGATGAGATTATTGAAATTCTATTCTGATATTAAAAAATTATTGAAATTTGTATTCAAATAATTCCAAACTTAGTATAAAGAGAAAACTAAACATGGACTTTTCGCCCAAAAAGAATAGCCATTCACACGTCAACGAAAACAGCTGTAATAGGCGTTCCCCATTTCCACCCCGACCTGACCAAGGCAAACACGGGCTAACGCAGAAAACTAAAGAGAGAGAAGAGAGTATGTGTTTGCACCTCTTTACAGTCTTTACTCACTCCTTTCTATACCCGTGCACTATAAATTTAGACCTGGGGACATCAGTATACTCCGATCCACCTCTTTCTCTCTCTCTCTCTCCTCGATAACATCCCTTTCCATATCTATAACCCTGCTGCAAAGAGCTTCTATTACACAACAAGTTGTTTATTTTTCTCGAAAACAAGCTCTTTGCAGCAGAGTTCTCTACACTTGAGCTGTATCACTCTTCTGCATCTTTTTTTTCTATAAAGACTCTCTTTTGACTCTGTCCGGTCCCGAGAATTCTTACATAGAGTACAGGCCTGCCTGTCGTCTCAGGCCAAACGTTGGACTCCGAGATACTTTTTCTTTCACTGCTGATTCGCCTTAATTTGCTTCAAAGATCCAACTCCTTCCACTCTCTCTCACATACATCAGCTCCTCTTTTACCAAAGAAAGAGCTGATCAGCTTAATTTTCTAGGATAGTTAAGACTAAGAGTCCATGGTAAAGATTACAAATCAACCAGTTGACTCACTCATGTCCGTACGACCGTCGGTGAAGTTTTCAGAGCACGTTGTAACGACAAGCAAGCCCATCGATGACCGGCTGTGCACGGCCTCCGGCGACCCAGCAGATAATTTGAGACGAAAGGTCGTCAGGATCATACATACCGACGCCGATGCCACTGACACCTCCGATGACGACGATGAAGTTACTAAAAGGACACGGAGAGTGAAGAAACACGTCAGAGAGATAAACCTCAGGCGTCCTCCTAAATCATCACCAAAGAGTGATCAAGCCAAGAAGCGAAGCTTCAAAAGCTTGGATTCGCCGGAAACTGATGTCACTCGTCGGAAAAAATTCAGAGGAGTGCGTCAGAGGCCATGGGGACGATGGGCCGCGGAGATCCGAGACCCGGAACGGAGGAAACGGGTCTGGCTCGGGACTTACGACACGCCTGAAGAAGCTGCTTTTGAATACGATAGAGCCGCCGTTAAATTAAAGGGCCCTGACGCCGTTACAAACTTTCCCAAAGTTTCTGTGACGGAAACGGTCGTTGACGCACAAACGGAAAGCGAAGACCGATCAAACGACGCCTCTTTGTCCCCCACTTCTGTGCTCCGTTACAGCTATGATTTCACGCAGCAAACGGAAAGCGAAGAACTACCAAACGACGCCGCTTTGTCCCCTACGTCGGTGCTCCGTTACGGCGATGATTTCACCCAGATGACAGAAAACGAAGGTCTACCAAACGACGCCGCTCTGACACCCAAGTCAGTGTTCGGTTGTAACTACGACGCTGCTTTGACAACCAAGTCAGTGTTCCGTTGTAACGACGATTTCACGTCGTTTGATGGTTTCAGTTACGGTGACGTCGATGCATTCGGATTCGGGTTCGACATAGTCATGCCATTAAGTTTTTCGGAAATCCCGATGTCCGAGAATTACTGCCCCGACGATTTTGGCGAGTTTGACGTAGATGATTTCCTCGTTGAAGTCAGTCATATAATCCAATAAGACAGGTCCACATCATAGAGTCTGGGACCATTGAGTAAAATTTGGGGGGTAATTTTGTATTTTTGTTCCATCGGATTCCTATTTGCCATTTTGAGTGTAAAACAATGGTGGGAGTGGGTGTGTGTGTAATGGTGTGGTGTAGTGAGAGAGTTAGCCCATAGTGCCAATTTTGTCTCGTGGAGAGTTTTTGTGACATTTTAGTTTCATTTTTGTGTCATAAATTATATTCATAGATCATTGTACTTGGGAGTAATTTTTATATTATTTTTATCAAGCCCGAGAATATTTTGATGTCTTATGTTTAATGTTAAAGGCGAAACAATTTTAATTGAAATAAATATAATTAAAAATAAAATTAAAATACTTAAAATTATTAAATAATCAAAAATCTAATTTTCAGAAATATGATAATTAGAATCAGTGATTCTTAAAAAATTAGAAATAAATCAATATATTATACATACTTTATCTTTGTCATGGATTATAGTTTTCAATAAGCGGCAGATCCCAATAGAATAGTAGAGCATGATGGGATTCTAAACTGTCGGGCGAGCTCTTTTATGTTGGATTCTTTATTTATAATTAATCAAATATCTCTTAGTATGATTAAAAATTATGACTAATCAGTTAATAGGCGACTACACTACCACTGAACAATTAAATATTTAGAAAAAAAATTGAAAGAAGATAAACTTATTTAGCTTGGAATTATTCGTAAATTAATAGCAACAATAAATCAAGTCTTTCAAAAATCTTGGTAATATCTAAATCCAAATTGTGCAAAAAAAATTGTTTATTTAAGGGTGAATTTTTATTTTGAACCCCTAAAATTTAAATTTCTCGCATTACACTTTGAATGCATTAAAAATGTTACAATGAAGTATTTCTGTTAGTTTATATTACTCATTTATTAATGTCAATGGAGTGATTTTTAGACAAAATAAGTAATAAAAACTAACAAAAAAATTATATTATAATAATTTTAATACATTAATAATATAATATAAGAAATTTAATCTTTAAAAATATATTAATTTTATAGGTTACAAAAAATAATTCTCGTATATATTTCGTGGGGTGTAAAGAATATTTTTCAAAGAAGTAGAGCTGAGGAATGATTGATAGTGGTACAGTGGTCTAGTGTTTAGTAGACACGTGTTTTGAAAAATACCAAACTTTGCTATCAAGAGTTTGAATTAGTCACGCGTTGAGGTCTTCTTATGGATTATTTGGCGTGGGGTCCATCACCTTCCAAAAGTTTGTTTTGCTGGTCTTTTAAGTTTCATTTACTCCCCAATTTGCCCCTTTGCTCCGCTGAAATTACGAATTGTGCATAAAGTTGAAAAGGTGCTTCACCAATTGAAAGCGTCTGCCGGTCACTCCTTCTACAGTGCAAAAGCTTGAAGAGGTACTGTTCCCTCACTGCTTGAATTGTATATCTTATCCATAGATTCTTTATATTTATGCATTTTGTTTTCCTGTGGTAGACCATAATATTTTTTTTCTATTTGATTATAGGGTTATATGAAACTCCTATATGGCATGTTGAATAAGAGCAATTGAAGCTGAAGAAGAACAAGGTCAATCTGTTTGCCAATAGTTTAGTCCTCTAAGAACTACATGTTTGTGAAATTACATGATAATATGAATTTAGGGATAGTCAATGTATAAACTAAGAGTTATTTCGTAAAGAAACTTGAAAGATTTATACAAAATTGAAATGATTGCATAATTTTTTTACATAGCATTATTTGAGTACTTTTAGAATTAACTAATTTTTATTGACACGAACACGACAAAACCCAAAAATGACACAACACGACTTCCCCCTAAAGCCTGAACGGAAAATGACATGGCACAGACAATCCTAGAGGCTACAACACCATCTTGCCAGATATGAGTGAAGCTCCCAATGTTGTATGATCATCAGCATTTTCATCGTCGTTGTTTTTTTTTGGCATACCCAACCAACATGCCACCATTCGCTGTAAAACCCCTTTAAAGGATCTATATTAACTAATTGCTTTGGGTCTACTACTATTTTAGCATTTACCTGCTTGACCTTCTTCTAAAACCATTCAAGATCGTATTAGGTAGGATTTCTCTATTTCATCTTGTACACTTCATACTCACATGTGATATTTGATATTTGTTTATTGTTTTAGGAGACTGGATTAGCCACCAATGTTCTTTGGATTATTTTTTTTTTTATGAATCTTGAGTTTCTCTTCTACCTTTGAATTTTTTACGAATTGGCAATTAATCAATATCCCCTAAAGGATAGCTCAAAAAATAAGGATTTATGGAACTTGTCTGTAAACATTTAATTTTTCCTTTTTTCATTTTCTGTTGGAGGATTTCTTTTCTTTTTCTTTCTGTTTTTTCCCTTTAGCCTTGGTGTCTTGAGACTAAAGGAAGTGTTATGTAGTTTGAAGCTAAATTTTGTGCATGATAATTTTTACTGGACAACAGTTGTTGCTCATATGCGAACACGCATTTGCTGTATATCGATGATTTTTAATGTAGTGTGCTATTTTACTGATAAGAGTTTACTATAATGTTTGTCCTGCTTATAAGTTGTTGGCATGTTGCCTTCTAAGTTGTGCTTTATGGTTTTCTTACTGATAGTTATTTTTCTTTTTTGTCCTACTGTTTCAGATGGAAAAATGTGAGGAACTTACCCTATTTATCTCGGAGGTTGCACATGAAACCAATAAAAGCCATGGGACATCACATGTTGTTTGTATGTGTTCCAACAGATAAACTAGGTGATGCACCAATTTCTTTTGGAGGCTCAGTTTGCTTTACCTTAAATAGTTCAAGTTTCTTTAGCTAATTCTACATCTTTACCATAGCATTAGTGCATGAAAAAGAGTACATCTCAAGTTGCAATTAGAGAAAATTTGAAGGCGCCTCCTATTCAGTCAAAGAACCCATCAAATCACTTTCACGTGTTTTGACGCCTAATGCATAATTTTAACTCATTACCCATTAATCCGTCCATAAATTAATGGATTAGGTACCTATATTAATTAATATGAGTTCTAAATAAATTGGGTAATATCATTCATTTTAATTAAGCGGGTTAATGCGGATTACAAATGGATACCCATTGAATTGAGTATTTATCTTTTTATTAAATAACACAAATACTAAAATTAAATAAATATATTAATATACCAAAAAACACACACATATACATTAATATACCAAAAATATATACACACTAGTACACAAAAAACATTTACTAATACACCACCCATGACCCATGACTTGTGGGTCAACTCATAACCTGTTGCCACAATCACACCGACCTATTATTTGTGTATTTTTTTATTAAATGTATTTTAGATTTTTGTGTTGGTGTATTAGTGTATATTTTTGGTGTATTAGTATATATTTTTAGTGTATTAGTTTGTGTGTGTTTTGGTGTCTTAGGGTGTTTATGTTTGTATTTTGGTGTATTACTAATGTGTATGTGTGTATTCTGATGTACTAATGTGTTCATTAAGAATTAACCTTTTATAAATCCGACCTATTATAACTCATTTACTACCTGAGTGAAAAATAGATTAGATTTATTTTAGCACAATCCAATTTAACCCAACTCATAACCAATCCAACTCACCCATTTGTCACCTCTATTTTTAGTCATCAATATTTGTTTTTCTTTTGAAGTATGTGTGGTTAATCCACACAATTTTGCCTCTTTGGGGAGGTTCCTTCATAGAAAAACTTTATTTGTTACTTAAATTGATATGAATTCCAATATCGATTTCTCATCTACATACAAATGTAAATTGATTGTGCATATCAGACATTAGTGTTTTAAATGTTAATCCTTGTTAAACTATGCTAGCTTTGAGAAATTTGCACACCACGAGTGATCTTTTTTTAATTAGAATATCACCGTCCCTTTTTCATCAGAATATTACCTTTAAATTTGCTAGAGTCACGGAGATTCATTAATGAGAAATTTCAACTCAAATTTGAAAAATAAAAACAATGAGTCCATATTTTTAGAATGCATGATATACAAATTTTCGACTCTACCTTCACAAATGAGATGCACTATAAGAATGATGCAATACCATTATTCTAAGATGAAGCATAAGGTCAGTTATGGCTTGTTTGTAACTTGATATGGTCTCCATGAGAATAGACAGTCTATTCATTATTACAATGTTTATTGACTTCAAACTTTTTTATTATTTACAAGATGGTAATGGATATAATTTTTTTTTGCATGGTTTTGATTGCAGATTATGCCCATGTAATTATAAAAGAAACCTTTCTAACAATGCCAAGTATGACAAAAGAGTCTAGAAATTGGTCCACGAAAGTTGTGGCAAAATACATTCAATTTTAGGGTACATATCTTTCATGATATTTTCATAATCTGTTGCACTAACAATACATAATATATTATATATTCAAAATAGTGCACGTGTGCACGAAGCTATTATAAATAATATCAACAACTAAATTTAGTTGCCCTCTCCAATCTAATCGACGACACCCTTGATTAACATGTAATAAATTGAATAATAATAACCCTTTATTCCGTATCAAAAGATTATCAAAGTGGCATTATTTTTTTTTTTTTTGTTACTATTTTAAATTGTTATATAAGAGGAAGACGGTAAGATTCGAATCTGTGATTTAACGGCGCCGGGGGAGAGGGGTTCTCACTCGATAGTGCGGTGGAACCCGTTCTTTCCCATTTGAGGGGTAGCATCCGGTATTTTGCATAATGGCGACAGGCACCAATAATGGAAGGGCCCACCTTGTTGTGTCAATCACATAGTGGGAATAGGCTTGGTAATTATTTTTTTTTTTATTTTTTTTTTTTGTCAGTGAGTTGGTATAAAATATTAAAAATTACAACCACCGGCGGCTATAAAACAGATATGAAAGGGGACAAGGATTTGGTGGGTCCTACGGTTGGTAACCAAACAGATATGAAAGCAACCATATGAAAGGGGACAACCCATATGATT